TGGAGTGTGAAACAAAGGATTCTACAACTATTCACTGTTTATCTACAATATCTTTGCACTCTACACCTAGGAGTAAGATACGGTCCATGCCCTTTATAATCCATGGTCTCTTGGAGATACAGCAGGACTGATGGGAGTGGGTGACTCAGAGGACAAAAGAAGGAGAAAGCAGCTTTGGGGCCCCCCTACTCCTCTGCCCACCATGAGCTTGGCACTTACTTCTCTAGTAATGTCACTCCAGAGACTTCCATAAACACACACGTAAGAAGACTCTCCCCAGTCGGACAGAATAGAGAGCTCACATACTGGAGTCAAAATAAGCAAGGGTTAAAATCCTGGCTATACTATTTAACTGTGTGAACAGATCGATGAACATCTCTGCTTCTTTATCTGATGCTTGGAAATAATATCACTCCCCTCACATGTTGCTGGGAGAATTATGCCCCAGGAGAGTGCCTTGAACACAGTAGGTGCTCGACGCATGCTTCCTTATCCCAGGTGCTGGTGGCTCTGGACTTCCCCAGTGGATCCCAGAGCTGTGATAATCAAGGGCCCAGAACCTGAGACATCTTTCCCAGGTTCTGATCCAGCTGCCACTGTAGATGAGGCTCTGAGTAAGGTAACATCATCTCTGGGCATCGCTCTGTCCCTTGCAAACTAAACAAGATGATCCAACTCAATCATCTAATGGACGAGCCCAGGATTTCTTAGCACAGGAGAGACGCCCTTCTGCCCTGGCAGAGAGAGGGGCCTCTCTACCCTCTGTGAAGATACAGAGGTGGGGTGACCTTGGGATGGGTCTTGGGGTTCTGTGTTCATATTTCACCCCTCTCCCAGGCGAGGGAGAGTGGGTTTTGCCAACCCCCACCATGTCCACAACTGAACAGGAAGTGGTAAGTTGGCTGCCGTGGCAGTGAAGGAGGTAGGAGTGGGTGAGGCCCTCTCAAGGAGCATTGGTAGCTGTGGGTCAGGAGAGGCCGTTAGGGATTGGTCTCTCCAGCACAGGGGCAGGGACAGAATGTGGCATCGGCATCCGAGAAAAAGTGAGTTCAAAGCGCACACACATGATGCAATGATTCCTGTCAGAACCAGACAGGGCTTTCTTGACAGACGCCAAGTGAAGAGGGCCATTTGTGTGAGGAAACTGAGTATCCCTGGTTCGAGGCCCTGAGGAAGCCTAGCAGATAAAGGGGCCAGCGCAGTAGTGTCCAAAGCTTTGTCTTAGCTTGTGAGGCCTGGGTTAGCTTTTTCTGGGATATTAGGGTGAAGCATTCTCACTGGTCTCTGGTAAAGAGCTACTAAGTCAGCCCCAATCTCCTCCTCCTCCCAACCCACAAAACATTAAATAAGGTAACTGGGCAAGGAGCATCAGGAAGGGTACAGGAGAAGGCCCGGAGCTCCTGCCCACATTCCCTCCCCCAGGAACCGTCTCCTCTCACCTGAGACGCAGCCCTGTAGCCACAGCAGCAGCAGCAGGAACGTGGGGGCCATGCCTCCATCCAGGTGGGCAGTCACAGGCCCGGGAAGGGGCCGGGGCACCCAGGGATCCAAGGTCAGGGCCCAGACCGATGCAGGACGTGCCACCTGGGTCTGCCAGGGAAGGACCTGGGGTTCTGAAAGTGAAGTTGCCCATTTAGGGAAGTGAGGCAGTGTGGCACGCACCGCCACCCGCAGACCGCAGACCGCAGGGGCCCGCAGAGCCTATCGCGAGGGCGGCACGGGCGGCTGTTCCCACCCTCTTCCTCGGAACTTCAGGCAGGTGTGGCTGCTCCACCCAGTCTGGGGCGCCCTGTCCCCCCCGGACTCCCTCCCGGAAACCGGTCTATAGGGGTGTCAGTCCGAGGAAGGGGATCCAGCTAGGCGGCTGGTTCTAGAAACTCAGGTACAGATTTTGCTGGAATCGTCTGGGCTCAGAGACCCTGGGGCAGAGGCTTTCAGACAGAGGCGAGTGTGTTGAACCACGCATTTATCACATACATAATTCACAAGGAAGTTCTTGTAAACTCCCATTCATTCATTCATTCTGTGCAGAATGCGTTCATTCGGTCACCCTGCCTCTTCTTCTCCCACACTCCTGTTGCTGAGAAGTCACTCGTGTTCACTGTAGCAAATCGCCTCCTACAAGCCTACACACAACTTATTTTTCTCACGGGGAAAAAGATGCAAATTGTGAGACTCAGAGCATGAAGTTTGTGTTCAGGGTGGGGTTCTTGTGCCCTCACATGTGGGCACGTACACATACATGCACACACACTTTCTCTCACACACATGTACGCACACATTTACACACATTTTCTTTTTCTCTCTATCTCTCACGCACGTGCACACACAACACTCTATCTCTCTCACACACACACGCACACACACGCACACGAGCTCCCTCTCCTTTTTGCTATTCACATGCCTCCTGGTCTCTGTCCCTCTCTCTGCGTTGCCTTGTGTCATCTCTACTCACCCACAGCTCTCCATAGACTCCTACTTTCTCTTGCAGGCTTCCCAAAGCCACCCCAGTGCTTCCCTCACCCACCTCTTTTCAAGACGCCACAACCCCTACAGCTCCTTCCTTCCCTTGCTGGCCTCCCAGCAGCCCGCAAACGTGCCCCCTTGACTTCCTCCCATGCATCCCTATCTCGCCTCAACAGCCACCCAGCTCCGGTTGAAATGACCCAGCACTTGGCTCAAGACTCCACCCAGTCCCCAGGGCCGAGAATCAGAAGGATCGACTTCTGACGTCCAGTAGCTGTGTCATCTGCTCTTTGGGATGTGGGGACCCGGGTGGACCCCATGACTGTGTGAGCTCCCCCTGCCCACCTGTGCCACCATTCTTCTCCTTAGATGGGACTAAAAATCCCTCAAGCTTGCATGGCCGCAGTCTTAAACTGAGCTTGAACCCCAAATCCCAAGCTAAAGGAAGTTACACCTTTGCTGACTCCAAACTTTTATAGTCTCTTAATGCACTCATTCATTCATTCATTGTTCATTCTTACAACCTCATTGCTATGCAAGGAACGAGGCACTGGGAATATGAACGAGATACAGTTATCACTTTAGACCTCTCAGCTCGTGAAAGATGTCTTATGCTTTCCTTATTCACCCTTCCTTTTTCAACGCTTCTTCCCCAGTCCTCAGAACACTGGGTTCAGAGGCTACCTCCCCGTCCCAGCACATGGTGTCTGGTGTCTTCCTTCATACCTTACCCCATCAGAACAGTAAGTGGCTTCGGGATTGGGGGATTTTTCTCTGTGAGGACTTCATGTGCCTGGAATCAGTGGTTCTATTAAACCTCTACAGTGTGCCCAGAGCTGGGTGACGCATGTGAAAAGCGTGACATAGTCATAGTTGTGTTGGTGAGGGTGTTAATATCAAAACATTCTCATCTGCTGATAGAAGTACACAATGGACTTAATCTTTCTTGAGGGAAATTCAAAAGTATTTACAAAAATCTCTAAAAATATGTATACCTTAGACTTTTATGTACAAAATAATTTAACCCAGCATTATAATTTTACATTATATTTATTTTTGTCATTAAAAATTAAGGTCTAATTTGCATACAGTAAAACTCGCCCTTTTCAGTGGACTGTTCTGGGTGTTCAGTAAACCCATAGAGACCTGAATCCACTACTGTAATTGAGATAGAGAGGATTTCCATCACACCCTAAAAGTCTCCCCATGTCCCTTGATAGTCAGCCCCTCAGTCCTTGACAAACACTGATCTGGTGAGCTTTTCCTATAGTTTTTCACTATACAGAATAAAAATTGTACAGCATGTAACATTCTTCATATGAAATTTAACATACAATTCTTCTATAGATTGTATTTTCTTGTCATATCAAAGAAATCTTTGTTTAACCCAAGGTTACAAAGATTTTTTCATAGCTTTATGAGATACAATCTATGTAATGTAGTTGACCCATTTAAAGTTTATTCTCTGAGTTGTACAACCATCACCATAATCCAATTTTAGAACATTTCCATCACTCCAAAAAGAGGTTTCTGCCTCGCTTATAATGCTTATGTGTGCCTGCCCTGATCAGAATTGGATGCTTATATAGTTATTTCTTTTAGTTCTTCAATATATTCTTATTAAACATTTATGTCTTAAATTTAAAGTTTATTTTAGAGTGTGAAGAGAGGGTAAAATTTAATTTTTTTCCAAATAGACATGCTTGGTTTCATTTGTTAGATAAACTCACTGATGCGGATGACTCTCTTTGTGATATACTAAATTTATCCGCACATTTGGACTGTTTCTGGCAAACTTATCCCCTCTATTTACCTCTGGAGCTTCCTTAGATAGTGAAATCTATAGTGATCCACTGATCCTCAAAAAGAAAAAAAAAAGGGTGGAGAATGAAAAATGAGAACATTAGAAAAATTAACAAGTGCTATGCCAAAAAACCCCCCAAAGCCCCCCAAACACAATATATTGAACAAATCTTTTACAGAGAAATAAATTGAATAATCTACCATAGAGGAAGCAAAACTAATGGGAGAACAATAGTTTAAAATAAGTATAATAAAATTCTCGAGGAGATAAGGGACAGTATTAGGAACATGAAACAGGAGCAAGCAATAATGAAAAAGAACAAATTAGACATATGGATTATAAAAAGGGTAATTGTTGAGACAAGGAGCTCAGTGAATGGAATGATGGGTGAATTGGTGAGGAGTCAAGCAACACTCCCCAGTGGCATGAGGAGAGATTAAAGTGAGAAAAACTGAGAGGTACGGAAGATAGACGCAGAAATGTCAACATCACGTACCAGAAGGAGGAAAAAGGAGTAAATGCAGGAAAGGGACTTTTTGAAGAAATAACATTGAAAATTTCTCAGAATTGAAGAAATATGTAAGACATCAGATTGACTGTGTTCAGAGAGTTTCAAATAGAATGGATCATTAAATACTCCACTTTAAAACACATTTTAGTAAAAATAGCAAAGAGAAAATTCTGAAACATTCCAGAGAGAGAAAATGGGTCAGTTAAGAGAAAGAAAACTAGATTGATATCAGACTTTTCCATAGCAACACTGGGGTAAAAATAGGATCTAATCAATCACATGTTCAAATTTTGAAGAAAAGTAACTTTTAGGTGTTAAGGCAGAATTTACCACAAGATTGAAAATAGTGGTGAAGAGAATGAAGACAATTTTGAGGTGAATGATGTTAACAAAAACTATTTAGGCGTTATAGCTAAATACTAGCTCTTAGCGTCTGGTTGAGAAAAATATATATTTTTTTCATCCACTTTTATCTCATTGCTAATGTTCTCTACGTGAATCTCAATATTTCTTTACTGTACAAGTGTGACCTTGTCCCAATCCACTGCAGTTATATAAATGCAACAAATCAAGAAAGAATTGGATTTAGCCATATGCAACTGAAAACCAAATAATGGTGACTTCAACATGGGAATGTTTACGTATTCTTTTTATTACAACAATTTCCAAGCATGCAGAAAAGTAGAGATAAGCATACATCTGACCCCCATGTACCATCACTCAGCTACATTTATTCTCACTTCCCACTTGGTTTTCGGCAAAACCATTCCATAGGTGGTGCTGTGTCATCATATAGGAAGCACACGATCTCTAGTGGTTCAGATTAGTGGTTCAGGTGACACAAGCTGGCAGAAAGATGTCTGAGATCCTACAACCCAGCTGCCCCACCTGGGTATAAATCCTGAAGGAGATCTCACAGGATTCCATAGGAGAACATGATGGAGGACGCCCATCACAGCGTTGACTGCGATATGGAGAAGGGCGGGGCAGACCAGCCTATGCACCCTGGGTTCCAGATGATGATGTGTGGGGAGGCAGGCAGTGGAGTGAGCGGCAGCCGTGCAAAGCAGTGGGCTGGGTGTGCCCCCAGCACAGACTGAAACAAGTGTATGAAAAAGGCACCTCACAATCTCTCTCACTTAAGTTAAAAATCCAGCCACAGAAAAAGACACTAAGTGCTTTACAAGCATACATCCAGAGTCAAGGCTACATATCAAATGCATTAAAGGAGTTGCATCGAAGGGGGAGGTATGTGGAGGTAGGGAACAAGGATAAAGAGGATAAATTGAAGAAATGGGGCCTCACATGCATAGGCGATGATGATGTGGCATGAGCTGAGATATACGTGAAGAAACTTTTTTCTTTTAGATCCTCCCCATTCCACAAAAAAGGAAAAGAAAATGGTCCTGGGTCCTGGGCTGGGCTGGCAGAATCACAACCCTCTGGCATTGTTGTCCGCACAGTGTACTTATGACCCTGAAAAAAGAGGATGAGGGAGAAATCTATAAACTGAAGTGAATCCTCTCCCTGACCTTCTTTCCTGCCCTTTCACTCTTATCCTGTCCTTGTTACCTGATCCTCCCTGCCACCTCCTCCTCCCTTTCACCTGCTCCCAGCCCCGCCCCTTCTTTCCCCTGTACCTTCTACCTAGGTCCTCTCAGCGTTCTCCTCCTGCCCCTTCCTCTCAGGATGGAGGCTGAGGCAGGGACTGGGGTGGGGGCTCTGCGAAAGCCTCTGTCCTTCTCTAAGGTCCGTTTCTGAGTGAAAGGCCCAGATTGTGAGAAATAACAAGTATTTGAATCAGACTCAGCTATAATATTCCTGCCTCTGTGCCCTCCGGCTCCTTCTTCCTAACCATCCCTCCTGGGACAGAAGCTGGCCCCTGCTCCCTTGCTCCCCAGTCTAAATCCCAGCCGCACTCACCATGCAGCACTGACAGCATCAGACCCTTGGCCACCAGGAGTCCACACAGCACAGAGACCAGGAGTCTGGGGGCAGCCAAGCCAAAGCAGAGGGGGGAACTTGATTTCCTGGAGGGAGGAAAGAGAAAGGAGGATGAATTTGGGCTGGGATGTCACCTGCTTCTGCCAGTTCCTGAGCCAGGCCCCTTTTGGGCAGAGATTGTTTATATAAGGACCCACCCTCAACTGATGATGGAGGGGCCATGGACACAGGGTGAGGGTTGGATCCACAGGGGTCTCTCTGGACCTGAGAGGAGACCCAGCCATAAGGAACTCAGGAGTCTTGGACGGAAGAAAATGTTGCTGGAGTAAGAGCTGGGGTCGGAGCTCAAGGGGTGGGAGGGATAGAGCTCGGCTGGGAGGGATAGAGACGGGGTGGTTCTCCGAGGAGCTCTCCCTGACCAGGTCAGAAGAGACAGGGCCATCAAGCTGACCCAGAGCGGGAGGCTGCTGAGGCCAGAAATCAAAAGCAGATTTGCTGGGAGGAGAAAATCCTCAGAACCACAGTAGGCAGGCCAGGGGTGGGGGCCGTCCACAGGGGCTTGGGAGGACACGGAGGGGGTGGGGGCAGCCGTCAGGAGGCCTGGGTCTTTGCCCTGTGCTAGGTGGCTGAGCAGGTCCTGTGCAGTCTCCGGACTCATTTTCTCAGGTGTGAACCTGGCTGATCCTGAAGGTGCTATTGGCTCTGGATCCTGAGAGGCTCTTCCCTCCCATTCGTGGGACAGTCGGGGGGGGGGGGCGCTGACAGTCCACACTGTCACCAGCAGCACCTCAGACTCCTGAGTGCCACCTCCTGTCAGCACCAAGCACTTATAGCGTCCCCAGACTGCTCATTGAAAAGGTATAAAGTGGCATTTCGTGGTTATTTTAATGGATGTTTCCTTGATTATTCACCAGGGCGAGCATCGCTTGTTTGCCTTTTGGATTTCCTCTAATGTAAGCCGCCTTCCGTGTGCTGTACCCACTTTCCACTGGGATTCCAGCCTTGTTCTTGTTGATGAGCATTAGTTCCTTGTTTGTATATTATACGTAGTATTGCCCTGTTTGTTTTAGACATTTTCAAATAATTTTTCCCATTCTGTCATCTGCTTGAAAACTTTTTTCATAGTGTAATTCATTGAATAGAATTTCTCAGTCTTGATGTAATCAAATTAATTGTTTTTTTTTTTGCCTTAAGATTTGTACTTTTGAAGTTGTGTATAAGAAGTCCTTCCTTACCCCTAGGTCACACAGATATTCTTCTGCAGGATTTTTTTCTATTAGCCTGATAATTTTATTTTTCATGTATGTATAACTTGAATCCATCTGGAGTTTATTTTTGTACATACTTAAGTAGAAATCCATTTTGGGGGGGTCCATTTTTTAATATGTTCTGCCAGTTTTCTGAAGGATGTCTACCAGATAATGTATGTATTATATGTAATAATGCTCCTGTGTGTGCACAGATCTGTCTGGAACTCCGTCCATTTTTTAATATGTTCTGCCAGTTTTCTGAAGGATGTCTACCAGATAATGTATGTATTGTATGTAATAATGCTCCTGTGTGTGCACAGATCTGTCTGGAACTCTGTCGCCTGTTCCACTGCTCCACTGATCAGTTCTTGCCCCAGCCCCACTCTATTATCAGTTATCATATTTAATATTTGGTAGGACAACTCCTTTCTTTGCATTTTTACTTTTTCAAAGTTGACTTAGGTAGTCATGCAGCTTTATTTTTCCATGTAATTTTAGAGCAAATTTATCAAGCTTAAAAATTAAACTGAAGTTATGTTTGGGATTACATTTAGATACTTTTTAATTTGAAGAAATTTACATCTTTTTAATGTTATTGTCTTGTCAAAGATCATGGATTATTTCTATTTACTCAGATCACCTATGTCATTTATTAGCATTTTAAAATTTTCTCCAAAGAAGTCTTGGTTAGATTAATTTTTCCTAGATACTTTATAGATTTTGTTGCTGTGATGAATAAGATCTTATTTTGATTAGATTTTTCTAAATAATTATTTCTAGTAGAGGACCACTTCTGATTCTTGTCAGTTGATCTTGTTTCTAGCAGCCTTGCCAGACTCTCTGGTGAGCTCTGATGGTTTGTTGCTTCTGCCTATTTTTTTCTAGATCTGCAAATGGTGACAGTTTTTGCTCTTGTCCAATCCTCCTTCCTCTTACCTGTTTTCTCTTCTTCTAGCATTGGCCAGGACCTCTGACACTATACTAGCATTAGTGCTAAGTGTGGAAATCCTTGATTTGAATTTATACATTCTGCACTTAGTAACATTTATTGTAGTCATTGATATATGATCTTTACCAAGTCATGTCTTCCAATTTTCTATTTTCTTGCAATATAAATGTGTTGAGCCTTCCCAAATGCTTTTTCTGCAGCAGTTGACTTTTTTTCCTGTAGTTTATTAAGTGGTTCATTTTCATTGATAGGTTTTCTAAAGTTAAGCTGTCCTTTCAGTCCTAGGATAAACCACACCTGATCATCATACACTTTTTATTAACACATTGTTGAATTCAGTTAGCCAATATTTGTTTTGGTTTTGACTCCCTGTTTGTCAAGAAAATAAACCTATGATTTAACTTTCTTGTATTACCCTAAGCTGTTTTTTGAGACTAAGATGACACTAGCCTCTTCACATGAGCTGGGCAGATTTGCTTCTTTTCTATTTTCTGCATCATCTTGTATAAAATATGAGTCAAATGTTTCTTAAAAGATTGGTGATATCTGTGAAACCATCTGAGTCTTAAATTTTCTGTGTGGATCGATCTTTATCTAACATTTACATTTCTTTTCTATTAACCTATTCAAATCTATTTCTTCTTGTGCTAATCTTGGCATTTTATATTTCTTTTAAGAACTTATCCACTTCTAGGACTTTAAACAACAAGAATTTGTTCAAGGTTTGCTTATTAAAAAAATCTTTGTAGAGTATGTAGTTATTTTCTTCTTTTCCTTCAGTTTGTTGTTTATTTATATGTTCTTTTACATTGTTCTGTCTTGACAGAAGTATGTCTGTTTTATTGAACTTTCCAAAGAATGGATTTTGGGCTTCTTTGATCTCCATTATTAAAATTGATTTAATTTATTTCAGCCCTTACCATAATTATTTTCCTCCTTTATATTTCAGTTGGTCTCACCCTGTTACTCACATTCCATCTTCCTGAGTTTAGTATTTGCTCATTTATTTTTAATCTTTTATATTTGATTTATTTCAGCCCTTACCATAATTATTTTCCTCCTTTATATTTCAGTTGGTCTCACCCTGTCACTCACATTCCATCTTCCTGAGTTTAGTATTTGCTCATTTATTTTTAATCTTTTATATTTTCCAAGTGTACTTAAAACTTTAATTTCCCCTCTAAATATTAGCTATGTATTCTAAATTTTGATACATAGTGTTTATATTATCATAATATATTTTATCACATATTTAACAATTTATATAAGAATATATTAAACATTATTGTGTTTCAGAACATGCTATTTTAGCTTTACTTCCCTCACGCATTCTTAATTTTATTGCATTAAAATTAAGAGAATACGTTATCTATTATATTTGAGATATATTATCTATATATTTGTTTGGAGAATATGTTATCTATTATATTAATTCTCTGGGATTCCTTCAAGCTTCTTTTGTGTCCTTGTACAAAGTCTACTTTTGTAAATATTCTCCATGTATTTGATAGAATGTATATTATGTTTTCATTTATGCAGAGTGTTATATATGTTTGTGTGTACACATACAGAGTTTATATATATTTATAAATAGTGTATTTTATTAAATATTTATAATACATTTACATAGTTGAAAACATTTTAAATGTGTTATATATTTCAAAATATCTATTTAAAATATAATTTATTATAATTTGTAATATATTTTTATAAATATGTATCATAATATATCATAATATATATCAGTTAAATAATAAATTTACATTATCATAATATGTCATCAATGTATCATAATATATATCAGGTAAATAAATAAACATAAACTAGGTAAATAATAAATTTCAGGTATTATATACCATGTATATAATATTTACAATTTTATGTACCTGTATATATATTTACCATGTATATATATTTATATTGTAAATATAAACATATTTTACCACGTGTATATGTTATGTTGTAGATATTATATACATGGTATATAATACCTGAAATTTATTATTTACCTGATTTAGAACTTGGATTCCTTTACTTTTTAATTTTTTTCATTGATCTTTGATCTTCTGAGAAGGAAGATCAAACTACAATTGTTAATTATTTACTTCTCTTTGCATCTCTGATAGTGTTGCTTGATGTATTTTATGGTCAACTACTTGGGTACACATATGCTTATGATTGTTCTATTTTCCAGCTCAACTGTGTCTTTCATCAGTATGTATTTTATATCTTTGACTTATAATAATATACCTTAAATTCTATTTTGTTCAATATTAAGAGTACCACAACAGTTTCTTTTGTTTCCCATTAGCCAGCTATCTTTTAAAAACCTTTTTTAAGGTTTTGAAATCTTTTTGTTAAAGTATCTCTTGTAGGCAATTTATCACTGGAATTTTTAAAAACTTAGAGAGTCTCTGTCCTTATTTTCTGAGTTTAATCCACTTAAATTTATTAAAACTGCTATTATATTAGGACTTATTTCTACCATTATATTTCCTTTTTTACATTTACTGAGATTTATTTAAAAATGCATTTCCTATTTTCCTTTGGATAGAGTTTATTTTGCTGCTTAAAAGGGTATACATTCTATTTATTTCACAGAAGATCCATATCTATGCTGATTTACTCCAATTACTGCCTTAAACTTATCAATATCTACATATGCCCTCTCATGAGACAAGTCCTTAACCATCCTTTCATGGCCTCTGGTCTCTCTTCCTCACCCCATGTTGATGGTGTCTAGAATGTCATTTTTCTTTTTCTTTTTTTTTTTTTTTTTTGTCTTTTGTCTTTTTCCGTGTCCGGCAACGGATTGCAACCCTTAGTGTTGCCCCCGCACCGGACCAGCGACCGGCCACGGGACCGCAACCCTCGGCGTTGCTCCCGCGCCTCGCTCAGCCAGTGAGCGGGAACGGTCTGCATGTGGGATCCGAACCCTTGGGCGGGAGCGCCGCCGCGCTTCCCAAGCGGCGCACCATCCAGTGCGCCACCGGGCCGGCCCTAGAATGTCATTTTTCAATTGTCATGGATATATATTCTCTTTCTCTTCATTTTGCTTTTAGCTGCTTTTTTAAAAAAAAACAAAAACAAAAACAAGAATAAACTTTACCAAGATGCATGATCACAGTGACTTTTTCACTTCTTGCAGCATCTCCTGGATTTTGTTTTTCATCTTAATTGAGAGCTTCCTCCAAGAATGTTTTCAGAGGGGATCTTTGCATGTGAGTCCTTGGAAGTCCTAAAGTATTATGACCTCATATTGCAGTGACAATTTGGCTGAATATTAAATCCTAGATACAAAGTTTTTCCTAAATACTTTAAGAATGTTATTCAATTGTATTCTTGCATTGAGAATTCTTCTTAAAAAGTCTGATGTGAATCTAATTCTTATTCTTTTGTAGGTGATCTGAATTCAGATCAGAATCTTCTGTCTTTGATGTTCTTACATTTCACATAACGTGTCTACGGGTGCATGTGTGTGTGTTTCCTATTTTCCTGTCTTGGCAGTGTAGGAGTCTTTTCAATCTGAGATCTTTCCTTTTCTATAATTCTGAGAAATTCGTATTGAGTCTTCAAATATTTCTTCCTTTCCTCTTTTCTGTCCTACAAGAATTCTTAATACTTACATGTTTGTGCATCTACACGTACTTTCCTCCTTCATGACTCTTAACTTCTCTCTAACTTTTAAAATCTCCTAATCCTTTCCAGAAACACTCTATGAGATTACCTCACCTTTTGTCCAGTTCACTTTTCAACCAGACCTATCCTTCTTTATTACATATGTTGTGGTCTACAACATTTTTCACAACTAGTATTACCATTTAGCTCCTTTTAATGGCTCTTGTCCTTGATTCACATAGTTTATGTCTTCCATTACCCCTTCATCTTTACTTAGAATTGCTGTGGTTTCGGTTCCCGTTTTCTGCTTCAGATGGTTTCTACTGTTTGGTGAGTGGTGACTGTTTTAAAGAAGTAGTTCTCCTAAGATGCCACCTTCTTTTGGTCTGTGAATTCAGATTCCCCTGTTGTTATCAGATACCCAGCCTGGTCATGGGGAAGAACCGAAGGCTGAATCCTTCTGCCTAGAGAGTTTTAAAAGCGAGAGGCAGAAGCCCCTGAGCACGCGACCCCAGTCCCCTTCGGCTGGTTTTCTCACTCTCTGTTTAGGGTCTCACCTCTGAACTCATCAGAAGAGGCTCCTGGTGTATTAGTCTGTTCCTGTTGCTTATAACAGAACTGGGTGATTTATAAAGAAAATGAAATTTATTGCTTGTAGTTTTTGAGGCTAGGAAGTCCAAAGTCCATCTGGTGGTGGCAACGGTGACCCAGGGGTCTCACATTGCAAGATGGTGGAAGCAGAGAGAGACAGACTATCCTCTTTTAAAGCTCTCAGAACCACGCCCCTGACCACCATTTTTAGTCCATACACTATGGCATGGTCCTACAACCCAATCACCTCTTCAAGGCCCCACCTTACAGTTACCTAATAGGATTTCCCACCCTCTTAACAGTCACAGTGGGGGCTAATTTTCTAATACATAAAACTTGGGGGACACAACTCGAGCTTCAGGGAGTTTGGGGAGGGACATAATTCAATCCACTACACCTGGGTTTGTCATGTCCCTGCCTTAGAGCTTGGAGGAGCAGAAGGGCAAGGAGTAAGTGCTCATGGCAGGTGTCATTTATTTTCATCAGTCCCTTGCTGCTTTTGCTGAGCAATGATCTCCTAGAGCACCTGTGACCCAGGCTGCTGCAGCCTATTTCTGTGGTGCATGGGAGGTCATGATGACCTTGAAACCCATGACTGCAGGGTCAGGAATAGAAATGAAATGTTCCTTTCACCTTTTACTGCTTGTGTCTCCAGCTGCCACACCCCCTCCAGTTCCCAAACTTTTGGGGTCCATTTTGTCAAACCAGAAATCTGTGTTTAACTGTCTTTTCTATAGCTCCTCCATGGTCACTGACCTGTGTCCTTCCCTTCAACTTTATGGCTGGGTTTGGGGGCTCCTCTGCAGTACCCTGGGTCCAAACACTTTGACAGGAATCCTTGGGTCCCCTCTCCCTGGTTCTGAGGCTGTGTGAACTATCTGACCATCCCTTCCCAGGACCCTCCCTCCTAGTAAGACCCCTGACCTACCTGTACTCAGAGCCATTGGTGGAAGCAGGGCCAGAGGTCCCCTCTGGAGAAGTGATCGGAACTAAGGAGGACACAAAGAAGACAGAGGCTGCCCAGGGGAACAGAATAGAGAATGGGATTGGGCCCCACAAACCCTGAGAGGAAGTGGAGAGGGGACAAAGCCAGCTCCTTAGGGTCCCTCGGGCTAGGGGTAGCTGAGGACTGAGATCTTTATAACCAGCTGAAGTAAAGTCTGGCATGAGGCCTAAAGGGGAGAAGTCTCTCCCCAAGCTGGTGGGAGTGAGGGGCAAGGCCAGGACACACAGGTGCAGGGTCTTCTGTGCAGGCGTGCCTCTTGGGATACCCAGTTCCTCACTGTAGGAACATGGCTGTTTCTGTCATCAGTTCAGATGATGCATGTTTATCTCCCTAACTTTTAAGCCCAACAAGGCCTGAATGTGGCTCCCACCAGCCCAGGTCCATGGGATCCACCCCAGAGGCAGGCGTGCCTGGTGCCTTCGTTCCTGAGACTGAGGCCCCCCAAGGTGCCTGGCCTCCCTCTTTCCTCCCCTCACTGAGACCCCAAACCTACTTGTCCTTGTTGAGAGCCAGGTGGAGGTCCATATAGGAGAAGTGGTCGATTGTAAAGAGAAAAGAGAGCAAACAACATATGCCCAGGGGCCCAGAAGAGAAAATGGGGTCTGGCCTGAAAGCTGTGAGTGGATGTAGGGGGCCCAGAGCCAGGCCATCAAGATCCCTTACACCAGGAGTGACCTGCACCTAAGGTCTGTACACCAGAGCGGTCAAGACGTGTGTGTGTGTGTGTGTGTGTGTGTGTGTGTGTGTGTGTGTGTGTGCGCGCGCGCAAAAGGAGAGCTGGTGCTGTGCCTGTGTAAGAAAAAGAGAGACAGAAATTCAGAGGCAGACTCGAGTTTCCTGTCCAGTGATCCCTGGGCACATCCCTTACCAGTTGGGGCAGGACGGGCAGGGTGGAACAGAGGTTAGAGCCCAATGTGGTGACACAGGTCCTCACTCCCCTCCAAACACTGCTGCTCACCTTTGCACTGTACCAGCCGAATCCGAGAGTTCAGGACAATGGGGTCCTGAGATGCGAGGAGGATCACACACTGGTACAGCCCCAAGTCCCGCCTTTGGAGCTCTGTCACTGTGACCCTGATTATGGCTTCGGTGGGAAAATCCTCCAGCAGGTACCTTCCAGCCTGGGCCCGGGTTAGGTTTGAGTTTGTAGTCTTTGTGCTCACGAGAGTTTCTGGGGGGCCCTGGCTCCGCACTCGCTGCCAGGCCTTCAGGCTGGTGCTGTATTTCGCATGGTTGTAAGGAAAGACCACGGTCAGATTCTTTCCTTCTACCAGACACATTGATTCCTCCTGTTCGCCTACAGCTTGGAATCCTAGAATGAGGAGTCAAAGCGATTCATTGAGTACATGTTGTTTCTTCCATCAGCCCCGCGTGCCCAGCCTCAGACCCCACCACAGACACAGGACCACAGCTGAAGAGTGCTAATAGCTCCACCAAACCTTTAGGGGTGATCTAGGATTTTTGAAGGTGTTTGGAAATGGCTCGGCAATTGTGTATGTGTGTGTGTGTTTGTATTACCAATATACACACACATATGGAGCAAGCAAGGAAAATGTCAATCATGTTTGAACGTTTCGTAAAGCTGTTGAGTTAATGGCAGATATTGCTTTTACACTTTGTAGATTGGTGATTTTTCATTTAAAAAAGGTAAAAAGACCTCCGCCAGTTTTGCCACCTTTTTTTGATTCATTTGTTGTTGTCCAGACATATCCCTTGCTTTGTGGTATGCAGTACTTTATATGAGCTTAAATGAGTGTCCCCAAGTTGAATGCTCTTCCCAATCCTTTCCACCCCTGTCCATCCCATTTCATCTGAGGGGAGTCTATCTGAACACTGCCAGTGGGCACTGATCTCTTGCTTCACCTGCCCCTCAACACCATCAACATCACTCACCACAACTTTTATTAAGCATCTACTGTGCCCTAAATACTGAGCCAAGAGCTTCCATCAATCTGAGATTTCATTCTAGGACAGCCCTCTGAAGTACATACCATCTACAGATGTTTTATTAAGCATCTACTGTGCCCTAAATACTGAGCCAAGAGCTTCCATCAATCTGAGATTTAATTCTAGGACAGCCCTCTGAAGTACATACCATCTACAGATGAACACTTTTGAGAAGATGCTATTTGAGAAGGAGGAAATTGAGGCTCACAGAGTTTCAGGGTCTTTCTCAAGGTCACACATGCAGAAAGAGGCAGAGACGGGACTTGAACCAGCTCCGTCTGGTTCCAGAGCCCTCACTCTCTTTCCCACACTCCTCTCTGCACCTGGCCAGAGGGACTCGCGCTGCAATTCCCTCTTCATGCTGCTACTTGGTCCTTTGTTGTCAGTGACCTTCTCCTCCGCCCCGTGACAGAATATTCCTTGAAGGGGGGGCTTCGTCTTACACGACTTCACATCTCCCAGGACATCGGTGCAGTGCTGGGGGATTGCTCGCTACACTCCACCTAATTTTCTCAGCTTCCAGATGCACTAGAGGAGCCTCCCGGTGGACCAGCGCCGTCTGCATCCATTACCTGCCTTTTCCCTTTCCTGTCTCTAGCGCACACCCCGACCCCATTCCTGTCCACCCTAAAGTGATGAGAGGAAACTGCTCTCAGTACGTACCTCCCCTGAGCTGTCCACATCGCTCTCCCTGGAGTCCTCTCCCCCATCCTTTTTACCTGCCTCTCCTTACCTGAAACACCGAGCAGCAGCAGCAGCAGCAGCAGCAGCAGCAGCAGCA